GTTGAGCGTCTCTTGCATCCCAATGCTTTCAAAGACATCAATCACCTCTTTCTTCTTCTGGAACGTTATGTACAGTACAAGCACTTGAACTTCTTTGGTGGCTTCTTCTCGCCATACTTCGACACTGGGCGCCCTCGAGGCATTAGAAAGTGCTCCGTTCTGGCCGATATGTCGTGGCGCATTTCGAGCGCGAAAACCTCTATACATTAATAAGTCATTGATATTCGAGGTTTTATTCAATATTAAGGGTATTCTTCGCGCGAAGGAATACTCGAGACAATAAATATTTCTTGGCCTTGCGCATTTATTACATTTTAGAGGAGTCCTAACTGAAATATCCGTCTAAACTGATATAAACGTGATGGTATGTCATCCACTGCGCTAGTGAGCATTCCGAGCGGACTGGGCCCCAACGCCAGGGGGTGCAATGCCATCGGGTACACGAGAGCCACAAGTTGGCCACCTGCAGCCTCCGTAGCTGTCTGCACGAGTCTTGTGGCGACCTCCCTCGCCACGCGTTCTCTTTCGACCCCCAGGAGAGTCGAGATCATCTTCCCTTTGCAACGCATCCCGCACTTTGCGCTTAAGGATCAGGCCATTCGGGCTGACCTGATCGTGTTGTACGGGTTCGTCCATGGAATTTGAGAAGTGCCCTCGGCTTGTCGAGGCGACAGTACATCGACCCTGAAAATATACGAATCCTATCGCGATGTGGTGAGCACACAGTTGGAGGGGCAGGTAGCGAAGAGAAAACACGGAGTTGAGGAGACTGGGGTTCTCGTAATAAAAGTAGAAGTAGAAGTGAACGGTGGGCGAAGCCCATCAGTCAGTGTAGGCCAACTGGCCAATGAGGTCGCGACATCCTAATGATGTGACGTGGCCTTCGCTGCAACTGACTACGACATGAGGAAAAAGCCTCTAAAAGGCACAAAGAACCTCCTAGTGTTGCAGGACCATCCTGCGACCTGATGGACAGGGCAGTGGGGATGTTCTCGACAGAACCGGGTGTTCTGACTGCCTCCCAACAACTCCACTCACTGTCACCGACGTCAGGTGCCCTAAGTGCAGATAGAGGCTGGCGGTTAAGCTCAGTAAGCATAACCACCACAGCTTACACCTTCTTTCGTCGTGACCAGGGCCGTCGGACACAGCGGGATGCCGTTTCCCCCTGTTGTCGGACAGTCAGGGTTGGAGCGTCCCCCTCACGTGACTGCCTCGGTCACAGGCTGAGAGGCCAGGCCCTATGCTCCCTGATGAGGGGCGAAGGGGTCGAGGGGCTGCAGCTGCAGGACCCG